TGTTCGTTCTATAGAAGCGCACCTGAGGCAGGCGAGGACGCTGCCGACCTCTGGGTAGAGGAAGTCATTGTCACAGAGAGGAGAGGAAGGGAGGGACGGGGGGTGCGGGAAAGAGAGGGGAAGGGGTCCTTTGTTCGTTCTATAGAAGCGCACCTGAGGCAGGCGAGGACGCTGCCGACCTCTGGGTAGAGGAAGTCATTGTCACAGAGAGGAGAGGAAGGGAGGGACGGGGGGTGCGGGAAAGAGAGGGGAAGGGGTCCTTTGTTCGTTCTATAGAAGCGCACCTGAGGCAGGCGAGGACGCTGCCGACCTCTGGGTAGAGGAAGTCATTGTCACAGAGAGGAGAGGAAGGGAGGGACGGGGGGTGCGGGAAAGAGAGGGGAAGGGGTCCTTTGTTCGTTCTATAGAAGCGCACCTGAGGCAGGCGAGGACGCTGCCGACCTCTGGGTAGAGGAAGTCATTGTCACAGAGAGGAGAGGAAGGGAGGGACGGGGGGTGCGGGAAAGAGAGGGGAAGGGGTCCTTTGTTCGTTCTATAGAAGCGCACCTGAGGCAGGCGAGGACGCTGCCGACCTCTGGGTAGAGGAAGTCATTGTCACAGAGAGGAGAGGAAGGGAGGGACGGGGGGTGCGGGAAAGAGAGGGGAAGGGGTCCTTTGTTCGTTCTATAGAAGCGCACCTGAGGCAGGCGAGGACGCTGCCGACCTCTGGGTAGAGGAAGTCATTGTCACAGAGAGGAGAGGAAGGGAGGGACGGGGGGTGCGGGAAAGAGAGGGGAAGGGGTCCTTTGTTCGTTCTATAGAAGCGCACCTGAGGCAGGCGAGGACGCTGCCGACCTCTGGGTAGAGGAAGTCATTGTCACAGAGAGGAGAGGAAGGGAGGGACGGGGGGTGCGGGAAAGAGAGGGGAAGGGGTCCTTTGTTCGTTCTATAGAAGCGCACCTGAGGCAGGCGAGGACGCTGCCGACCTCTGGGTAGAGGAAGTCATTGTCACAGAGAGGAGAGGAAGGGAGGGACGGGGGGTGCGGGAAAGAGAGGGGAAGGGGTCCTTTGTTCGTTCTATAGAAGCGCACCTGAGGCAGGCGAGGACGCTGCCGACCTCTGGGTAGAGGAAGTCATTGTCACAGAGAGGAGAGGAAGGGAGGGACGGGGGGTGCGGGAAAGAGAGGGGAAGGGGTCCTTTGTTCGTTCTATAGAAGCGCACCTGAGGCAGGCGAGGACGCTGCCGACCTCTGGGTAGAGGAAGTCATTGTCACAGAGAGGAGAGGAAGGGAGGGACGGGGGGTGCGGGAAAGAGAGGGGAAGGGGTCCTTTGTTCGTTCTATAGAAGCGCACCTGAGGCAGGCGAGGACGCTGCCGACCTCTGGGTAGAGGAAGTCATTGTCACAGAGAGGAGAGGAAGGGAGGGACGGGGGGTGCGGGAAAGAGAGGGGAAGGGGTCCTTTGTTCGTTCTATAGAAGCGCACCTGAGGCAGGCGAGGACGCTGCCGACCTCTGGGTAGAGGAAGTCATTGTCACAGAGAGGAGAGGAAGGGAGGGACGGGGGGTGCGGGAAAGAGAGGGGAAGGGGTCCTTTGTTCGTTCTTTAGAAGCGCACCTGAGGCAGGCGAGGACGCTGCCGACCTCTGGGTAGAGGAAGTCATTGTCACAGAGAGGAGAGGAAGGGAGGGACGGGGGGTGCGGGAAAGAGAGGGGAAGGGGTCCTTTGTTCGTTCTATAGAAGCGCACCTGAGGCAGGCGAGGACGCTGCCGACCTCTGGGTAGAGGAAGTCATTGTCACAGAGAGGAGAGGAAGGGAGGGACGGGGGGTGCGGGAAAGAGAGGGGAAGGGGTCCTTTGTTCGTTCTATAGAAGCGCACCTGAGGCAGGCGAGGACGCTGCCGACCTCTGGGTAGAGGAAGTCATTGTCACAGAGAGGAGAGGAAGGGAGGGACGGGGGGTGCGGGAAAGAGAGGGGAAGGGGTCCTTTGTTCGTTCTATAGAAGCGCACCTGAGGCAGGCGAGGACGCTGCCGACCTCTGGGTAGAGGAAGTCATTGTCACAGAGAGGAGAGGAAGGGAGGGACGGGGGGTGCGGGAAAGAGAGGGGAAGGGGTCCTTTGTTCGTTCTATAGAAGCGCACCTGAGGCAGGCGAGGACGCTGCCGACCTCTGGGTAGAGGAAGTCATTGTCACAGAGAGGAGAGGAAGGGAGGGACGGGGGGTGCGGGAAAGAGAGGGGAAGGGGTCCTTTGTTCGTTCTATAGAAGCGCACCTGAGGCAGGCGAGGACGCTGCCGACCTCTGGGTAGAGGAAGTCATTGTCACAGAGAGGAGAGGAAGGGAGGGACGGGGGGTGCGGGAAAGAGAGGGGAAGGGGTCCTTTGTTCGTTCTATAGAAGCGCACCTGAGGCAGGCGAGGACGCTGCCGACCTCTGGGTAGAGGAAGTCATTGTCACAGAGAGGAGAGGAAGGGAGGGACGGGGGGTGCGGGAAAGAGAGGGGAAGGGGTCCTTTGTTCGTTCTATAGAAGCGCACCTGAGGCAGGCGAGGACGCTGCCGACCTCTGGGTAGAGGAAGTCATTGTCACAGAGAGGAGAGGAAGGGAGGGACGGGGGGTGCGGGAAAGAGAGGGGAAGGGGTCCTTTGTTCGTTCTATAGAAGCGCACCTGAGGCAGGCGAGGACGCTGCCGACCTCTGGGTAGAGGAAGTCATTGTCACAGAGAGGAGAGGAAGGGAGGGACGGGGGGTGCGGGAAAGAGAGGGGAAGGGGTCCTTTGTTCGTTCTATAGAAGCGCACCTGAGGCAGGCGAGGACGCTGCCGACCTCTGGGTAGAGGAAGTCATTGTCACAGAGAGGAGGGGAAGGGAGGGACGGGGGGTGCGGGAAAGAGAGGGGAAGGGGTCCTTTGTTCGTTCTATAGAAGCGCACCTGAGGCAGGCGAGGACGCTGCCGACCTCTGGGTAGAGGAAGTCATTGTCACAGAGAGGAGAGGAAGGGAGGGACGGGGGGTGCGGGAAAGAGAGGGGAAGGGGTCCTTTGTTCGTTCTATAGAAGCGCACCTGAGGCAGGCGAGGACGCTGCCGACCTCTGGGTAGAGGAAGTCATTGTCACAGAGAGGAGAGGAAGGGAGGGACGGGGGGTGCGGGAAAGAGAGGGGAAGGGGTCCTTTGTTCGTTCTATAGAAGCGCACCTGAGGCAGGCGAGGACGCTGCCGACCTCTGGGTAGAGGAAGTCATTGTCACAGAGAGGAGAGGAAGGGAGGGACGGGGGGTGCGGGAAAGAGAGGGGAAGGGGTCCTTTGTTCGTTCTATAGAAGCGCACCTGAGGCAGGCGAGGACGCTGCCGACCTCTGGGTAGAGGAAGTCATTGTCACAGAGAGGAGAGGAAGGGAGGGACGGGGGGTGCGGGAAAGAGAGGGGAAGGGGTCCTTTGTTCGTTCTATAGAAGCGCACCTGAGGCAGGCGAGGACGCTGCCGACCTCTGGGTAGAGGAAGTCATTGTCACAGAGAGGAGAGGAAGGGAGGGACGGGGGGTGCGGGAAAGAGAGGGGAAGGGGTCCTTTGTTCGTTCTATAGAAGCGCACCTGAGGCAGGCGAGGACGCTGCCGACCTCTGGGTAGAGGAAGTCATTGTCACAGAGAGGAGAGGAAGGGAGGGACGGGGGGTGCGGGAAAGAGAGGGGAAGGGGTCCTTTGTTCGTTCTATAGAAGCGCACCTGAGGCAGGCGAGGACGCTGCCGACCTCTGGGTAGAGGAAGTCATTGTCACAGAGAGGAGAGGAAGGGAGGGACGGGGGGTGCGGGAAAGAGAGGGGAAGGGGTCCTTTGTTCGTTCTATAGAAGCGCACCTGAGGCAGGCGAGGACGCTGCCGACCTCTGGGTAGAGGAAGTCATTGTCACAGAGAGGAGAGGAAGGGAGGGACGGGGGGTGCGGGAAAGAGAGGGGAAGGGGTCCTTTGTTCGTTCTATAGAAGCGCACCTGAGGCAGGCGAGGACGCTGCCGACCTCTGGGTAGAGGAAGTCATTGTCACAGAGAGGAGAGGAAGGGAGGGACGGGGGGTGCGGGAAAGAGAGGGGAAGGGGTCCTTTGTTCGTTCTATAGAAGCGCACCTGAGGCAGGCGAGGACGCTGCCGACCTCTGGGTAGAGGAAGTCATTGTCACAGAGAGGAGAGGAAGGGAGGGACGGGGGGTGCGGGAAAGAGAGGGGAAGGGGTCCTTTGTTCGTTCTATAGAAGCGCACCTGAGGCAGGCGAGGACGCTGCCGACCTCTGGGTAGAGGAAGTCATTGTCACAGAGAGGAGAGGAAGGGAGGGACGGGGGGTGCGGGAAAGAGAGGGGAAGGGGTCCTTTGTTCGTTCTATAGAAGCGCACCTGAGGCAGGCGAGGACGCTGCCGACCTCTGGGTAGAGGAAGTCATTGTCACAGAGAGGAGAGGAAGGGAGGGACGGGGGGTGCGGGAAAGAGAGGGGAAGGGGTCCTTTGTTCGTTCTATAGAAGCGCACCTGAGGCAGGCGAGGACGCTGCCGACCTCTGGGTAGAGGAAGTCATTGTCACAGAGAGGAGAGGAAGGGAGGGACGGGGGGTGCGGGAAAGAGAGGGGAAGGGGTCCTTTGTTCGTTCTATAGAAGCGCACCTGAGGCAGGCGAGGACGCTGCCGACCTCTGGGTAGAGGAAGTCATTGTCACAGAGAGGAGAGGAAGGGAGGGACGGGGGGTGCGGGAAAGAGAGGGGAAGGGGTCCTTTGTTCGTTCTATAGAAGCGCACCTGAGGCAGGCGAGGACGCTGCCGACCTCTGGGTAGAGGAAGTCATTGTCACAGAGAGGAGAGGAAGGGAGGGACGGGGGGTGCGGGAAAGAGAGGGGAAGGGGTCCTTTGTTCGTTCTATAGAAGCGCACCTGAGGCAGGCGAGGACGCTGCCGACCTCTGGGTAGAGGAAGTCATTGTCACAGAGAGGAGAGGAAGGGAGGGACGGGGGGTGCGGGAAAGAGAGGGGAAGGGGTCCTTTGTTCGTTCTATAGAAGCGCACCTGAGGCAGGCGAGGACGCTGCCGACCTCTGGGTAGAGGAAGTCGTCGTCACAGAGCGATGAGATGTCATCCTTGCACACCTCCACTGCATTGCACACATACAGAGGCGTCGCAAGCATGCACGCACATGCATGGACACACACACACACACACACACACACACACACACACACGCAAGCACGCATGTGCACACACACACACACACTCGCACACACTCACTCACAAACACGCTCGCACACGCAAACACAAAAACACACGCACACACTCACACACATCTTCCCCCCGATTCCCAAAAAAGAACAGACAGGCACACAGGAAAAAACAAATGAGCTTGAGAGAGAAACGTATGTCAGCAGCAGCAGGACCCGCACTGCTAGAAACAAGAATAAAGAGTGAAATTGCACCCAAGCATTCAGTGACATCTGATGCAAGACCAAAGTTCTGAACGTCTCAAAACCTCAGTCAGCTCTTTTTCTTTCTTAGTTTCTTCCTTACTTTCTTCTAAATAAAGAACCATGTGCTGCGCATCACTTACTCATCTCCTTGTCGATCGAAATATCCTTGTACACTTCAATCTTAAACCGACGGATGGCCTTGAGGCACTTCTTGCCAAACTTCTTGTCGGCCGACGCAGCTGAGGGATTACGTGCGGGCCAGGCCAGGGGGAACGGGGGAAGGCAAGGGACACGGGGGAATGGGGTTAAGGGAAAAGGGTCACCTGTGGTGAAGTTGAGACATCCCAGTGCCTCTTCAAGGATAGCTTGCTCCCACTGTACGTATCTCGTCTGGTTTGCAATCTATGCAATCTCGCTGCTCAATTACACGTTTCCCGCTTGCCCACCTTCAGCAGTCTCACGTTCAGCGTGCTCACTGCTAACCGTCAGCGGCCTCACTGCCAACCGTCAGCTGCCTCACTGCTAACCGTCAGAGGCCTCTCTTCTCACCGTCAGCGGCCTTGGTGAGTTTGAAGCTGTCAGAGAGGCAGCGCTCCAGACTCCTGTTGCCCACGTCCACGCCCTCGCAGAACGACTTGATCTCCCCCTTGCACGCCCCTGCACGCACACACACACGCAATCACGCACAGTAGTCACGGTAAAATTTGTGAGAAACACACCCAGCTTATATCGAGGCGCCTTTACACCTGCTGCTCACGCCCCTTCACGCACACTCCCAATCAATCAGGCGCCGCAGACACAGCACACACATTCGATAAAGTCACACACTCAGCTCATAATGAGCCGTCTCAACACCCGCCTCAACAACTGTTGCTCAGGCGCACGCCATCGCAGAACGACTTAATCTCCGCCTTGTACACCCCTGCACACATACACTCGCTCAAGCCTTATCCACTGCCTGGCCTGGGTAAGCATTGCGCTGTGCACGCTCCTGTGACAGATTAAATGCTTGAAACGTCATGATCGGACACGACTGAGACAAGACGGGAGTGCGTCAACCGCGGAACCGGGAGGCTAACGTGACGCTCAGACATTGCGGTCGCAGGTTTGAAACACGGCAACGACGAGTTTAGTCCAATTGACGGTTCGTCAAGATGCTGCGATCTGGTGACCACTGTTGGAGAACGCGAAACGATCGAATTGACTCAAGATGCAGCCGTCGGGGTTAACGATTGGACCAGCGTCAGCGAGAGCAAGTCACGAACCCATCCACGAATCGTCTGCAGGCTCTCTGTCACTCTGATCTGATCACGAGTTTTTACATCAACGAAAAACATAACGTATTTTATAGAAAACACGCATTCTATCCGTACCAGCAGGAAAAATGTCTCCGGCTTTCTTCTCCGCCTTGATAATATCTTGCTCCAGCTGGCTCCCCGGAGGGGGATCCTCCCCAGCCCCAGCAACAGCAATGTCAGCTCCGGTGGTATCCTCCCCTTCGCCCTCCTTCTCCTCCTTCGCCGCTTCCTCTGCTGCGGGAGATGATTCCGCTTTCCCCCCTTCGTCGGCGGAAGCGTCGTCCGGAGAAGCCTTAGCTTCCGCCGCCGATTCCCCGTCCCCAGCGGATTCTGCTGCTTCTGCGGCGTCTGGCGTTTTTTCTTCCGAAGCTGCTGGCTTTTCGTCTGAAGCTGGAGATGCATCCTCTGCAGATTCTTCTACAACCTTGGCTTTTTTCTTCTTGGCGCTGACCGTTGTAGCGGTCGTGGCCAATAGGAAGAGAAGGAAGATCGCGATCAGTTGAGTGCGCTTCGCCTGACAGCCAACGAAAAAACAAAAAACAACAAAAAAAAAGTTGGAACAAAAGGACCTCTTTATATACATCACAATACAAAACAATGACAAGGGAAACCCCTTATTACTGCTAAAGCGCCTCACCATCGTGGCTCGAGGGAAAAGGACCGAAATTATGCACTCGGAGTGAGTTGGCCAGGGATCGGTGTTTAGATGGTTGTCAGATCACAGCACTACGCGCCGACAGGCATTGGAGCCGACGAACTGGATCCGTTCAATCCCGATAAGCCTAGCTAACCACCGTACGATGAAGCCTTGACCCTCCTCAACCACTCTCAGCGTCGTTCTTAGAATACCTAAGCGAAGATCGGCATTTTCAGTGTTTGAGGAAACCAGGACCTTGTATATGTGTGGCAGTTGAAGACTTGTTCCATTTTTGTTGGTTCTTGGTAGATACAAAACGGTACAAAGTGATTAACGATTGTTTTGCAAAGGTTCCGAATGGTCTTCAGGATGGTCTACTGGAAGAATTGCGTCTTTTCATGTGTGGCTGGCGGATGATCCCAAAAGGTGGTGCAAGTGGGGCCTGCCCGTCGCGTTGGAAGAATGGTTGGTTGGTTGGTGTGGTGAACCCACCTGCCGCGTATGGTTCTTCGCGAAACTCCCTGATCGCTTAGCTTGACGTTTGCAGGTCATACTTGACGGCCGGCGATCCCCAGGTGGTCGGTGAATCCCTGGTTCCTGGTGAACTTGTGTTTCCCAGCCGTAGCAGGGGAATTCTCTTCAATACGGTTCAATAGAATGTATTGCTGGACAGAGCGGTTTTCTACGACTTAGCACGGTTCCGACTTAGCAAGGTTGCGTCTGTCAGTCATATTTCGGATTTCGGCTGTAACTGGGACAATTTCGTTGAGTGGGCTAGATGGTTCAGTCGGTTCGCAGGCCATGCAACAGATTGTGGCGGGAAATTTGTGATACAAGCAGGATCTCTTTACGCCAGTGACAAAGGCGAGCGTTTTCGAGCTGTTCAGGTCGAAATCCCGTTTACGAGGTTTGTTATTATAAGCAATGTCTTCCCTTCGTTCATATTCGCTTTCGCAGCTCGCTCTGAAATTCCTCGATATCGTCAACGATGAAATACGGGGATAATGTTCCACGCGGACCTCAAACGAGGCCCCCTGTATGCCAACTCGTTTCGCTCAATATATTGCACTTGGTAGCGTCGGTAGCGTTCGGTAGCGCTACCGTTTCGCTAGACGACGCTACCGAGTGAGTCAGCATTCTGCCCGCGGGCAGAAAAACTAAAACCCATTCGGACTGCATGCCATTCAGGAGCCTCAACCCTAAAATTTTAGGGTTGAGGCTCCCTCGGATGGCATGCCTTCCGATGAGGGTTTATTTTTTTTTCTTGCCCGCTGACTCATTGCACTGCCTGCTGACGCAGGCAGTGCAATATATATTCCAGGTTTTCCCTTCCCACCACCCAAGAAATGATATTTCTCAGCAGCATAGTAGTACCTTTCTCGTGTCGCGACTTCCGGAAATCTCAACTACTAAACGCGGTTTCGTCGTATTGTGTTTTACTTCGATGTCCGCTGGCCCGCTGCCACGTCAGCAGCACCAAAGCGGCAGCGACGTTCCTCCGAAAGGCTCAATCTGGCAGATTCGCCGCTTTCGCCGGCTAGGCTTCTACATCTATATCGCGTCTGCCTGTGCCGCGTACACCTACGCTAATATCGCGTACGTTGAATCCCTGTCCTCGTCCCTCCCCCTCCCTCCCCTCGTCACTTCCGACCTCCCTCCCCTCCGCTCGTCCTTCGCTCTCTTTTCCCTCACATCTCTTCCCACCTTCGCATCCCCACTCTCTCCAGCATTCGAGCGCACATGCCGCTGGTGACTACGCCTACAGAAGTGGTCATACTTTAGTCGTCTCAAAACTCCCCCCCCTCTTCCCCCCTCTCCCCCCCTCTTCCCCCCTCTCCCCCCCCCTCCCACCCACCCCCACCACTCTTCCGCCCCCTCCGCTCGCCAGCATTCGAGCGCATGTGCCGCTGGTCGCTACGCCATACAGCGGGTAATCATTCTTCATCTCTAATCAGATTATCTCTCCCCTTCTCTTACCATCTCTTCCCCCCTCCACCCCCCGCCCTCTTTCCGCCAGCATTCGAGCGCACGTGCCACTCGTGGCTACGCCTTACAGCGGGTATGCTTCTGGCGTGGAGATCCTAGTAGACACGACAAAGGTGAGCCTGTTATTCTGCCGTTAATGAATGACACTACCATGCACTTGCATGTTCTGGTAACGTTTCGGCCCCTGAGGCATGCTTTTACGTGATAGGTTGTTCAAATGCGTTATCCAACCCTCCTTCCTTCTCCCCCCTCTTCTTCTCCATTCTCTCCCTTTTCAGATATACCAGCGAGCACTGTTTGATCCCCTAGAGTTCACCGCTCAGCATCCCTCCTTCTTCCCTCTCTCCTCGTTCTCTTCTCCTCTTCTTCTCCATTCTCTCCCTTTCCGGATATACCAGCGAGCACTGTTTGATCCCCTAGAGTTCACCGCTCAACATCCCTCCTTCTTCCCTCTCTCCTCGTTCTCTTCTCCTCTTCTTCTCTTCCTCCCCTCCTCTCCCTTTCCAGCACTGGGGAACGTGTTCGAAGAGACTGACTGGGGTCCCCTGGAGTTCACCATACAACATCCCCTCGCTTCTTTCACCTCTTCTCTTTCACTTCCCTGGTCTCTCTACTCCCTCCTCTGTACTTTGTTCAGCTATGCCAACGAGCACTGGGGAACGTGTTTGAAGAGACCGACTGGGGTCCCCTGGAGTTCACCATTCATCGTCCCTCTTCTTTGCCCCTTCTCTTTCCCTTCCTGCTATCTGTTTTTCCCCCTTACAGCTATACCAGCGAGCTCTGGGGAACGTATTTGAAGAGTCCGACTGGGGTCCTCTGGATTTCACGATTCTGGCGAAGCACTACGAGAGGCAGGGGCAGCGAGCATACGCCTACCATGCCGTGAGTGTGTTGCATGGAATGTGCATGTTGCTGCAAGTCGGTAACAAGGGGAGTTGAAGGTCTGCCTGCCTGCTTGTGAAATCAGTCTCTAGAGTTCAGCATTCTGGCGAAGCACTACGAGAGGCAGGGGCAGCGAGCATACGCCTACCATGCTGTGAGTGTGGCGGGTGGGGGTCACAACACAAGGCGAGGTGGAGATTTGTTTGTGAGCTGGACGTTTGCTCTTTGCTGCCGCAATAATTTGCAATCATGACGTTCTCTGTTAGCCCACTTCAATAATGGCCGGTCATTTGTCTTTCACGTTTGCCTGGAATAACTGATTTGGATGTGACAAAGGAAATAGTGTTCTTATTCCCTCACCACTTCCCCCGCCCCATTGTCTCCCTTCCCATGCAACCACTCATATTGCCAGGCCCATTCATCGATCATCCGATCCCACCAACCCCCACCCACCATTTAGCCTTCCACACGCAAGCAACTTGCACACAGTTGCATGTACTGTGTGCAAGTTGCATGTACTGTGTGCAAGTTGCATGTACTGTGTGCAAGTTGCATGTACTGTGTGCAAGTTGCATGTACTGTGTGCAAGTTGCATGTACTGTGTGCAAGTTGCATGTACTGTGTGCAAGTTGCATGTACTGTGTGCAAGTTGCATGTACTGTGTGCAAGTTGCATGTACTGTGTGCAAGTTGCATGTACTGTGTGCAAGTTGCATGTACTGTGTGCAAGTTGCATGTACTGTGTGCAAGTTGCATGTACTGTGTGCAAGTTGCATTGCATTCCACATTCCACAATCCTTACTCCACTCCACGCTCCACACTCCACAGGCCACACCCCACACTCCACAATCCATCACCCACCATCTGCCCTCCTTGTTCCCACCAGCACTACATGGCACACCTGCTCTCCAATGGGGAGGTTGACGGAACCAAGCCCTCCTTGTGACTTTGTTGGATTAAATAAAGAGACTTTGCAATTCAGTAGTTCGATCGAAGTTACTACAGTATTGTCGTAGTCTCTAAAGATCATAGGGCTTTATCTCAGCCCAACAGACTTGTTACGGTACTGAGTTGCATGGTATGGTGTAACAAGTTTTGCTTTATAGACAGCTTCACGAAACTGTAAATGGCAATTGATGGAATATTTTTTCCCGTAACTTGTTTAGCAGTCTTGTAGTGATATACAGTATGCCATATCCAGAAGAACGCAAGCTTTTACACAATGGGATGGTCTTTGGTCTAATAATCTCATTCAAAACTCATGGCCGAAACACGGGACCTCACCTCACTCACACAACTAACCCCCAAATAAAATAGGCAGCTTCATGCCCTTCTTTGCACAATCTTTCCCAACCGTACTAAAATAGCGATGATCCGACCCATCAAGTGACATCACATAATAAGCCTTGTGCGAAGGCTTTACAAATACTTTCTGAACGGTCTTGGTGTCACAGTTGTCGAAGGCCGTTACAGTACGAGCCTCTGCCAGGCTGTGCTTGGGCCCACCAAGGAGGGCGGCAAATCGGCCACTGTCCCACTTGAACACTGGAGAGCGGGGGGGAACGGTGGGAGAGAGGGGAGGCGGGAAGAACGGACGTGCATTGCGTGACCGGCACACTGTCGCGGGGTAACAACTTATGGTTACGCATATACGGCACGTGATGATGCATTTAGGGTGTTTTTTAGAATTCTCAAAAACACCCTGAGAATTCTCAAAAACACCCTGGTTGCGCATATACGGCACGTGATGATGCATTTACAGTCCAAGAATTCGTGCGTGACAATAAGTGACAATAAACCGAGTCGAATGTTGGGTTGACTCGGTTTATTGACTCGGCGTATCAGAAGAAGGGAGGGGAAGAAGGGAGAGACGGTACCGCCCAAGGCTTCGTGTGTGGCAATATACCACGAGATGGGTTGACTGCTGAGTTGACTCGAAAGTCATCGCTTACCTAGCTTATCAGAGGAAGAGAAAGACGAAGGTACAGGCCAAGACTTGACGTCAGGCCAGCCCTTCTTGCCACCAACCACGTACGTTGCGGCATGCTGCATGGGAAGAGGGGGAAACGAAACAAGCACAAACGAAATTTTTGAGGGGCCTAATAAAAAGCGAAACAAGCACAAACGGTTTTCAGCCTTGTGTCAATCTCGTGTGTCGCACTCCCATTTCTTGCAGGTTTCTTGCTATGCAACCCATCTTTGCGACATGCTGCAGGGTTGGATTGTACATGAAGGAGACGCAGGCGAGCAGGGATGCTAGACATCACAACCAGCGCTGAGACTCCATAGTGGCAGGCCAGCCCGTGTTGCTGCGTGCAATCGCGGTGACTGGTGTGATGCAATGCAATGCAGCGGTGGAATGGCATTGAGACAACACATTGCATGCAATGCAGCCAAGGGAAATTGAGGGAGCAAGGCCACGAGGTAGCGGTGGTGAAGGTTTATCGGAAAAGGAAATGGGAAGGGGAAGGGGGAAGTGGGAAGGAGGAAGGTTGGAGGGGATGAGAGAGCGGGAAGGGGGTAGGAGGGAGGGAGAAAGAGCAAGGGGGAAGGGGCGAGGGAGGAAAAGGGAGGAGGGAAGAAGGGGGCTGTGTGAAGGGATTCGTGGCAGCACGCTTACCGCGAGTGCCGGGGTGCCGGTTGTGGTAGGAAGGTCCAATGAGCAACCTGCACAGTCAGCAGCACCGCAAAGAACGCAGTGAAGGGAGAAGTTGGCTGTGTGAAAGGATTCGAGGTAGTTATAAAAACACAGCACGCAACACGACGTCAGCAGCACGCAACACGACATCAGCTGCACGCAACACGACGTCAGCAGCACCACACAGAACAGGACACGTGGAAAGCCCGAGCCACGAAGAAGAAACGCCCCGATCGACGTTCGCAGGCCGGTTCAGAACTTTTGTAAGCGAGTCGAATCACAAGCTGGCTAGGACTTGCAAATGTTTGGCTTGAGCACTAGTGGTAGTACTAAGTCTAGAAGCCATGTAGGTCCACCGGGTTGAAGGAGTGCGGAACCTGACCGGAAACCCTAAAGTTAACATTTCGGACGAAGCTTCTGTGTTTTGTGAGAGTGTACATGCCAATACCATGCATGTGATGTCATGTCAGCAGCAGCAAGAGACCGCCGCCAGCTGATGTTAAATAACGTATCTGCGAGCAGCAGCAGCGCGATCAGGGACAGCCTACTCGCCATCGCTCCCGCTTGTGTGAGGAGACAAATCCGGCTTGTCTGACAATTTTCAAATCGAACTGTCTAAGGGGAAGATGCGGGATGCTCTGGTTTGTTTCCACTGTTGCGGGAGACAGATTTCTCGGCTACAGCTTGTCCTTCTGTTGTATGTACTACGACTACCAGGCCTCGTTCGAGCGAGCAGCGCGGGAGGAGATTCGGGGAGAAGAAAACGAGTCCCCCGGGACCCAACGCAACACGCCATCGAGTCCCGCCGCGTCGGCATTTGCCGCGGGAACGGAAGCAAAAAAGTCGTGAGGACGAAGCGGGGGCGGCAGCCATTGCTCGAGATGGTACTATGGGCTCGCATCGTCAATGACTTGTCGTTGGTGCGATTGATCGGTCCAGAGTGGTTCAAGTCACGATAAACGGTTCAGATCATCGCTTCGCAATGAACGGTTTTGGGGGAGAGATGCTGGGTGGCATGTCATTAGAACGGCTTTTGTTTCGTTACTTCAATATATGTACGCGAAATGTTGCTGTCTTGTATCCGTCTAATCGCGAGCCAGTCTGCCAGACTTCGGGATTTCAGTGAGAACCTATTTTATTATTGTCCCGAGACATTTGGGTCACTTAGCCACCTGCTTTTGGCCGCTTAGTGTGAAATTCGAAGTTCTAGGCCGCATTCTGGGCTGTCACGAGCAGCCACCCTGTAACAGGCAATCGTAAAAACGACTCCCACCGACACTGCGCGACGCCTTGCGATCCCCTGTGGTAACCCAATTTCAAGGCTTTGGGGGTCTAGAACATTCTTGGAGTGCGACGGCAAAACTTGTTCCTGACAGCCTGTTACGAGCCCGGAATGCGGCCTTATTACTAACGGGGCTGTTCGTTATACCACCACTGACACTCAAATGTCGTGTTCGGGTTCGGGTTCGGATTCCTTCGAAATGTGACAGTGGAGCGAATTGCCGCAACTCCCTGACAGTGAAGGTAAAGGTCAAGGAGGGGGGAGAACCCCTTTGGTTTAAATTGTACAATTAGTCAGCAATAATAATTAGTGTACCACACGATATATGAACATCAACCTCATCATGGCGTCCCATCCGGTTGCTGCATTCCACTTGAAATCAGCCCTCCACGCACCCTCCCCTCACCTGCCATCCCCGGTACCCCATGCCCTCCTCCCCCTCCTTCGACCATCATCCCTCCTCCCATGGAACCACCTACAATCTCCCCCATACCTCCCATCCCACTCATACCCCCCATAACCCCCATCCCTCCCATGCCTCCCATCGCTGCCTGCTGCATGTGCAGTGGCAGTGGCATGCCATGACCACCAGACATATGCATAGGCGAGGGGCCACCAGCGGCAGCACCAGCAGCAGCTGAGGGGTGTATCCATGCCACAGGGCCCCAGAACATGGGCACTGTTGCAGCACCTGAAGGTACACCTGCTGAGCTGGATTGCAGGTGGGAAGGAGCAGGAGCAGGTATCAACTGGTGTGGGAATAAGGTAGGTGGGCCGGGAGGAAACGTCTGTATAAATTGCATCGGTGCTGGTCCTGACACTGCTGCCGCTGCTTGCATCCCCACACCTGCTGCCACTCCCCCTCCCCCTCTCCCTCCCCCTGCCCTTGCTTCTGCTCCTGCTCCTGCCCCCTCTCCTCCCGCTCCTCCTGCCCCAGACCTCGGAACCAGCGCTCTTAGATTCGTCGTCGCCCCACATGGCCCATTCTTTGAAGGAACCTTTTTCTGCCTCCCCCGCTTCCTTTTCACCGGCGGCTCCACCCGCTTCACCAGCCTCCCCTGCAGCTGCAGCTGCTGCCTGTACGCACCCACGGCACCCATGGGTATCATCCCTGTGCCGGCTGCAGCAGCAGCAGCCATCATGAAAAGGGCAGGAGGCACATGGTTGTGGTGGCAGGAGGGGCCGCCTGTGCAACCCCTCCCTCCCGTGCAGTAGTAACCACGGTTAGAGTGAACTGACACCCCTCCATTGTAGGGACCTGGTTTGGCTATACCCCCCATACCCATCCCTGTGCCTTGCCCCATGCCCATATTTACACCCAAGCCCATTCCTGCTGCCTTTCCTGTTGCCTTCTTGCTTCCTGTGCGGAGGCCTGGGCTGGATTTCCGGCTGCTTTTGCCAGAGCTGCAGCTGCTACCCCCTCCCACTCCGCTCCCCCCTCCGCCTGCTCCGCCTCCTCCTCCGCCTCCTACCCCCCCTTTTCCACCACTCCCCTGTCCTCCCGTTCTGCCCACCCCCTGTACTGCCTCGCTTCTCTTTTCAGCCGCAGCTGTAGCTTCTGCTGAGGCTGCTGCAACTGCTGTAGCTGCCGCTACGTTATAATTATTGTTGTGGGGCAATGCCCCCGATTGGGGGTGACTGGATGAACGGCCGAGATTCTGGGGGGAGTAAGAAGGGGCGGTTTTAGCAGGAGGTGAGGTTGTACCAGGTTCCTTAGTTCCGGCAGAAGGGGCGGTTACACCAGGTTCTTGGTTTGTAGCACGAGCAGCAGCGGATGTAGCGGAGGCTGGGGAGAAGCAGAGGGGAGAGGCTGCTTGTGATTGGTTGGTGGAGGATGGGGAGAAAGGACCACTGGCATGGGCATGGGCAGTGGCAGCGGCAGTAGCGTCTGGCGTGCTTTGCATGCAGGCAGGGAGAAGCACAGTGGATGGCAGCTTGGGCGCTGATCTCATTTGCACCCCCATCTGCCCCCCCATCTGCCCCCCCATCTGCCCCCCCATCTGACCTCCCATCTGTCCCCCCATTTTCCCTCCCATCTGCCCTCCCATCTGCCCTCCCATCTGTCCCCCCATCTGCCCCCCCATCTGCCCCCCCATCTGACCTCCCATCCGCACTCCCACCTGTCCCCCCATTTGCCCTCCAACGTTCCCAACACCCGATTTCTGCTGCTGCTGTTGCTGATTCTGCTGGTGCTGTTGCTGCTGCTGCTGCTGCTGCTGTTGCTGTTGTGATTGATGTTGTTGCTGCTGCTGCTGCTGCTGCTGCTGCTGCTGCTGCTGCTGCTGCTGCTGCTGCTGCTGCTGCTGCTGCTGCTGCTGCTGCTGCTGCTGCTGCTGCTGCTGCTGCTGCTGCTGCTGCTGCTGCTGCTGCTGCTGCTGCTGCTGCTGCTGCTGCTGCTGCTGCTGCTGCTGCTGCTGCTGCTGCTGCTGCTGCTGCTGCTGCTGCTGCTGCTGCTGCTGCTGCTGCTGCTGCTGCTGCTGCTGCTGCTGCTGCTGCTGCTGCTGCTGCTGCTGCTGCTGCTGCTGCTGCTGCTGCTGCTGCTGCTGCTGCTGCTGCTGCTGCTGCTGCTGCTGCTGCTGCTGCTGCTGCTGCTGCTGCTGCTGCTGCTGCTGCTGCTGCTGCTGCTGCTGCTGCTGCTGCTGCTGCTGCTGCTGCTGCTGCTGCTGCTGCTGCTGCTGCTGCTGCTGCTGCTGCTGCTGCTGCTGCTGCTGCTGCTGCTGCTGCTGCTGCTGCTGCTGCTGCTGCTGCTGCTGCTGCTGCTGCTGCTGCTGCTGCTGCTGCTGCTGCTGCTGCTGCTGCTGCTGCTGCTGCTGCTGCTGCTGCTGCTGCTGCTGCTGCTGCTGCTGCTGCTGCTGCTGCTGCTGCTGCTGCTGCTGCTGCTGCTGCTGCTGCTGCTGCTGCTGCTGCTGCTGCTGCTGCTGCTGCTGCTGCTGCTGCTGCTGCTGCTGCTGCTGCTGCTGCTGCTGCTGCTGCTGCTGCTGCTGCTGCTGCTGCTGCTGCTGCTGCTGCTGCTGCTGCTGCTGCTGCTGCTGCTGCTGCTGCTGCTGCTGCTGCTGCTGCTGCTGCTGCTGCTGCTGCTGCTGCTGCTGCTGCTGCTGCTGCTGCTGCTGCTGCTGCTGCTGCTGCTGCTGCTGCTGCTGCTGCTGCTGCTGCTGCTGCTGCTGCTGCTGCTGCTGCTGCTGCTGCTGCTGCTGCTGCTGCTGCTGCTGCTGCTGCTGCTGCTGCTGCTGCTGCTGCTGCTGCTGCTGCCTGCTGCTGCTGCTGCTGCTGCTGCTGCTGCTGCTGCTGCTGCTGCTGCTGCTGCTGCTGCTGCTGCTGCTGCTGCTGCTGCTGCTGCTGCTGCTGCTGCTGCTGCTGCTGCTGCTGCTGCTGCTGCTGCTGCTGCTGCTGCTGCTGCTGCTGCTGCTGCTGCTGCTGCTGCTGCTGCTGCTGCTGCTGCTGCTGCTGCTGCTGCTGCTGCTGCTGCTGCTGCTGCTGCTGCTGCTGCTGCTGCTGCTGCTGCTGCTGCTGCTGCTGCTGCTGCTGCTGCTGCTGCTGCTGCTGCTGCTGCTGCTGCTGCTGCTGCTGCTGCTGCTGCTGCTGCTGCTGCTGCTGCTGCTGCTGCTGCTGCTGCTGCTGCTGCTGCTGCTGCTGCTGCTGCTGCTGCTGCTGCTGCTGCTGCTGCTGCTGCTGCTGCTGCTGCTGCTGCTGCTGCTGCTGCTGCTGCTGCTGCTGCTGGCTGCTGCTGCTGCTGCTGCTGCTGCTGCTGCTGCTGCTGCTGCTGTGCTGCTGCTGCTGCTGCTGCTGCTGCTGCTGCTGCTGTGCTGCTGCTGCTGCTGCTGCTGCTGTGCTGCTGCTGCTGCTGCTGCTGCTGCTGGCTGCTGCTGCTGCTGCTGCTGCTGCTGCTGCTGCTGCTGCTGCTGCTGCTGCTGCTGCTGCTGTGCTGCTGCTGCTGCTGCTGCTGCTGCTGCTGCTGCTGCTGCTGCTGCTGCTGCTGCTGCTGCTGCTGTGCTGCTGCTGCTGCTGCTGCTGCTGCTGCTCGCTGCTGCTGCTGCTGCTGCTGCTGCTGGCTGCTGCTGCTGCTGCTGCTGCTGCTGCTGCTGCTGCTGCTGCTGCTGGCTGCTGCTGCTGCTGCTGCTGCTGCGCTGCTGCTGCTGCTGCTGTGCTGCTGCTGGCTGCTGGCTGCTGCTGCTGCTGTGCTGCTGCTGTGCTGCTGCTGCTGCTGCTGCTGCTGCTGCTGCTGCTGCTGCTGCTGCTGCTGCTGCTGCTGCTGCTGCTGCTGCTGCTGCTGCTGCTGCTGCTGCTGCTGCTGCTGCTGCTGCTGCTGCTGCTGCTGCTGCTGCTGCTGCTGCTGCTGCTGCTGCTGCTGCTGCTGCTGCTGCTGCTGCTGCTGCTGCTGCTGCTGCTGCTGCTGCTGCTGCTGCTGCTGCTGCTGCTGCTGCTGCTGCTGCTGCTGCTGCTGCTGCTGCTGCTGCTGCTGCTGCTGCTGCTGCTGCTGCTGCTGCTGCTGCTGCTGCTGCTGCTGCTGCTGCTGCTGCTGCTGCTGCTGCTGCTGCTGCTGCTGCTGCTGCTGCTGCTGCTGCTGCTGCTGCTGCTGCTGCTGCTGCTGCTGCTGCTGCTGCTGCTGCTGCTGCTGCTGCTGCTGCTGCTGCTGCTGCTGCTGCTGCTGCTGCTGCTGCTGCTGCTGCTGCTGCTGCTGCTGCTGCTGCTGCTGCTGCTGCTGCTGCTGCTGCTGCTGCTGCTGCTGCTGCTGCTGCTGCTGCTGCTGCTGCTGCTGCTGCTGCTGCTGCTGCTGCTGCTGCTGCTGCTGCTGCTGCTGCTGCTGCTGCTGCTGCTGCTGCTGCTGCTGCTGCTGCTGCTGCTGCTGCTGCTGCTGCTGCTGCTGCTGCTGCTGCTGCTGCTGCTGCTGCTGCTGCTGCTGCTGCTGCTGCTGCTGCTGCTGCTGCTGCTGCTGCTGCTGCTGCTGCTGCTGCTGCTGCTGCTGCTGCTGCTGCTGCTGCTGCTGCTGCTGCTGCTGCTGCTGCTGCTGCTGCTGCTGCTGCTGCTGCTGCTGCTGCTGCTGCTGCTGCTGCTGCTGCTGCTGCTGCTGCTGCTGCTGCTGCTGCTGCTGCTGCTGCTGCTGCTGCTGCTGCTGCTGCTGCTGCTGCTGCTGCTGCTGCTGCTGCTGCTGCTGCTGCTGCTGCTGCTGCTGCTGCTGCTGCTGCTGCTGCTGCTGCTGCTGCTGCTGCTGCTGCTGCTGCTGCCTGCTGCTGCCTGCGGCTGCTGATGCTGCTGCTTGCTGCTGCTGCTGCCTGATGCTGCTGCTCGCTGTGCTGCTGCTGCTGCTGCTGCTGCTGCGGCTGGCTGCTGCTGCTTGCTGCTGCTGGCTGCTGCTGCTGCTGCTGCTGCTGCTGCTGCCTGTCTGCTGCGGCTGCTGCTGCTGCCTGCTGCTGCTGCTGCTGCTGCTGCTGCTGCTGCTGCTGCTGCTGCTGGCTGCTGCTGCTGCTGCTGCTGCTGCGGCTGGCTGCTGCTGCTGCTGCTGCTGCTGCTGCTGCTGCTGCTGCCGCTGCTGTTGCTGTTGTTCAAGCAACAAGAGGAGGTCCGACTGGTCTAGTTCGTCAAGGGCTAGATAGCCAGCAGAGACAGGAACGTCATTGCCACTGATACAAGACTGCTGCTGCTGCTGCCACTGCAGCTGCTGCTGCACCTGCTGCTGCACCTGCTGCTGCCTACCATTCACGCGCAAAACTTCACTGTCACAGCTCTGCACCGCACCGAAACCTCCTGGGATTTTCACACCAGCAGCATTCCCCCAGGCTGCCATCAGTTCCAAGTCCATTGCTGCAGCATCTAACACAAACCCCTCCCTAAGTGAATCTGCACTGAAAGGCGCGATTTCCGCTGGACCTCCCTCCAACCCCACCCTGAGCCCTGCTACATCCTGCTTTATCTGTACCTGCTCCATTTGCTTCTGACTGGTGCCATGTGTTTCACCTTGACTGTGGCCGGGGCTGTGGCTGTGGTTGTCCCTTTGGTTTGCGATGCCCTGGCCATGTTGGTGACTGTATACATCGTTAATCCCTAACGCCCCACCGTCATGCGCCCTCATTCCTCCCCCCATGTACATTTCCCTCATGCACTCTGCTTTCTGAGCCATTGTACCCGTGTCATCATGCCCAGTGCTGACGTCAGCACTGTCCACGTCACCACTGGCGGTCGCGTCAGCACTAGCTGTAGCGCCAGCGCTAGCTGACGCGTCAGCACTGCCGGTTGTAGCGCCGGTGCTATCTGCAGAAGCAGAAACCGCTTCCCCTTCAAAGAACCCCGCCCCATCGAATCCGGTTGTTTCAAACCGCCCTGCACCTATCTGCCCCACCCCTCCCTCTCCTCCACTGGGCCCCCCTCCAAGCCTTGTGACGTCAGCCAACAGCGACATGAGCATGCCACCACGCACGCACACGTCGGCAGTCAGTGCTAAGTGCCCGCGGCACATGACGTCATCCTCTGTTCCCTCCATATCCGTACCTCCTCCTGCCGTACCATCAAGCATTCCAGCATCTGCAGCCGAGCCTCCTTCCAGACCTGCCCCTGCCCCTGCCGCTCCTCCCGCTCCATCCTTCGCTCCTGCTCCTTCTCCACTCCATCCTCCTTCCCCTCCAGCCACTCCATCCCCTACCAATCCTCCCCCTGCGTCCGCCCCTCCGCTGCCCCCCAGCATGAGCTCGTCCCAGCCGGGAAGACTGGACCACGGGGGGTCATCGTCAGGGAAGTTCAAATACTCCGCCAGGGCATCAAACCCCATGTCCTCGGCAACTGCTGTTACCGCGTCTGCTGTTTCCGCGTCTGCTGCTACCGCGTCATCTTTTAGCGTGTCCGCTGCTCCTTCCATTCCTTCCATGCCCTTCGCCTCTTCCGCATCCCCACCTTTCCCCATGCCCCTGTTTCTCTCCGAGTCTAGGTCCTCTCCGATGATCGCATGCGCTTCCGCCTTCACGCTGCTATTCGCTCCTACTAAGCCCGTGTTTGTGGTTAGGCTGCTGTCACGTGCTTGCTCTTGCCCATGCCCATGGATTGACGTGAACACCTTTTCCAGATCTGAACGGCTGTCGAACCCACCAGCACCCACAGCACCCACAGCACCAGCAGCACCAGCAGCAGCGCCAGCAGCACCAGAAGCAGCAGCAGCGCCAAGCCCTCGCTCCCACCCACTTCCACCAAAACCCTCGTTAGCCTCGCAAGACCCAATACCAGAAACGCCCGTCCCTGAAACGCCTGCCCCAGAAAATCCTCCCCTAGAAAAGTCCGCCCCAGGGCCAAACCCTGGGCCAAAGACACTCCCAAAAAGGCCGCCACCAAGCACAGCGCCCTCCGTACTCCCTGGCACCGCATTCAACCGATCCCCGCCTTCCAGCCGCAGCTTGGCGAGGACGCCAGCGCTGGCGCCCACGCCCACGCTGTGCACGCTCCCATCTCCCTGATGCACGCTCCCGTCCGTTTGAAGCACACTCCCACCCGCTTGATGCACGCTTCCGTCCGTTTGATGCACACTTCCACCCGCTTTGTGCACGTTCCCATCGCCCTGATACACACTCCTACCCGCTTGGTGCATGCTCCCGAACCCTGCCTGCACGCCGCTAAAAACATTCGCCTTCCCATGCAAGCCCTCCATCGCGTTTGACCTTCCCTGCTGGCCGTCCTTCTGACTGCTCTGCTGACGGCCCTGCTGACGGCCGTTGACGTGGAAATCCCGGCCGTCATAACTGTGAGATGCGTGCAAGCTCGCGGAGTACAGGTTACCACCGTGAACAGTACTAGCGCGGGGCGGAATGCATCTTTGGGCACTGTCCCCGAAACCGTGGACGCCCGTTTTGCCTTCATTGCTCCCGTGCGCGCTGCCTTGCGCGCTAACCCGTGCGCTGCCTTGGGCGCTGCCCCGTGCGCTGTGGGCACCGGACTTGGGGTAATGAAGCGCACTGCCGTAGAGACCACCCGAGGCAAGGCCGCTGGCGTAGAAACCGCCTCCGTGCACGCTGCTGCTGGCGTGAAGGCGGGCTAAGTGGTCGCTACGTGCTTGGCTGTCAGTGTATGCAGGAACGGTGTCGCCAGGCACGCTGCCGCCTCGTTGACTCGCTTGACCGCCACGCACACTACCGTCCGGTTGAGACAGTTGACCGCCATGCACACTGCCGTCCGGTTGCGACAGTTTACCACCATGCGCGCTGCCGCCTAAATGACTCAGCTGACGCCCACCATGCGTGCTGCCGCCCAGTTGACTCATTTGACCGCCATGCAGACTTCCGTCCCTAAGAATCGCCTGACCGCCGTGCATGCTGCCGTCTCGTTGACTATTTTGAACGCCGTGCAGGCTGCCGTCCCGTTGTCTAAGTTGACCACCGTGCAGGCTGCCGTCCCGTTGACTAATTTGACCACCGTGCACGCTGCCGTCCCGTTGACTAATTTGACCACCGTGCACGCTGCCGTTTCGTTGACTAAATTGACCACCGTGCATGCTGCCGTCCCGTTGGCTAATTTGACCGCCGTGCACGCTGCCGTCTCGTTTACTGATTTGACCGCCGTACATGCTGCCGTCTGGTTGAATAAATTGACCGCCGTGCACGCTGCCGTCTCGTTGACCCAACTGACCGCCGTGCACGCTGCCGTCTGATCGACCTTCTTGACCACCATGCGCACTCCCATCGCCCTGAAACCCTCCCAATGCACTCGCAGCACCAGCGCCAGCGCCAGCGCCAGATACATTGCACCTGGACCGGCTCTCCCACAGAACGCTAGTGAGGTCCGCGTCGTCCAGCCGCGGCGGCAGCGACGATCGCGATCCACACGCCGTGCTGCCGGACCCTGCGGCTGACTTGCCAGACGAACAGCCGGCGGACTGGTTACCAGACGACGGGCTGTCGTTCCCCCGGTGCTGCCAGCCCGGCGAGCCGAGGGGAGACGCAACAGCGGGAGGGGATAACCGGTGAGGGAAAGCCGCGAGCCGAGTCTGCCCGGGCGCCTGTAGCCCCTGAAAGTGGAGGCTTTGCTGCGACGGCGATCGCAGTGCATGGTTCATAGCGTTAGGAGAAATCCTGTCCGTGTACCGAAGCTCGCCTGCCGCGAGCGATCCGTGCTGCTGAAAAGCGAGTCCAGCGGCGGTCTGACCCTGAACTATCCCTTCGTTTCGCCCGTTACATTCACCGCCCGCGACAGCAGCAGCGGCAGCGGCGGAAGAGGCCCTTTCCACCCCTTCCATCGGGGTTTCGCCGGCTCCCTGCAGCGCAAACCCCGGGCCTTCTCGTGCCGAGAAACCCGCTGACAAGCCGCCGTTCCTGCGGTTGTGCTGCAAATGGGGAACTTCGAGCCTACTGTCAAGCAACCTTGAAGCCGTTGCGCTATCGTAAGGAGTCGCCTGGAAGAACGTTTCTGTTTGCGTACCGCCACCGTTCTTCCCGTCTGACCATCCACCGTTAAATCCGCCGGCCTGACCCGATAACACCGCCTGATTCTGGTGACCGCCGAAAGTACCATTCAAACGCGCGGTCAACAATTGCTCTCCGATTTCCCCTCCGTGCTGCTGGCGATAGTTACGATACGCAGCAGCCGGAACAGCTATGTCGTCAACGGAGCCCGTCCTAGACGCGACATTCTGAGACTGGAGAGAGTTTTGAGCTTGGAGAGCGTTTTGAGCCTGGAGGGTGTAAAAGAGGTTTCCGCCATGCCAAGTACGGCTTCCGTCGGCCATGGGGTATACGGAGGTGAACGAGCGGTGCTCTAGAGCGCTAAGCTGGTCCTCTAAGGTGTCTGCGTTTGTCCTTGATTGCCCTGATGCCATTGCTAAGGTACGACCGGGAGACGAGACGAATTCCTGTGGCTTCGGAACCTGCGGAACGAGCGGACAGATAAGGACGTCGAAATGCAGTTTGGAACGAGGTTGGAACGAGGTCGGCACTGGGAAAAATATTGTGGGAATGCGAGCGAACAGAATGCGGGAACAAATGCGGAGCTGGATATGGAACGCAAGGAGCAGAATCCGCGGAAGCAGCATGCAGCACGAGTGAGATGTAGGTCTATACGGCAAGTCAATTACCTGAAATTCGGACAATTGTGCAGCTTGACGGCAGGCGTCTGCCCGACTCGTATTTACAAGACCCGGAACTCCACCACCCTCGTTAGCTATAACGAACATTTTGTCCGAATCATGTCTTTATAAGGTCCTGAAACAAACAACTTATTTTCCAACGTGAGGAGCCATAAAAAGGCACTGAGAGAACAACATTTCTATTGGGATTGCTATACTCAAGGCAAAACCAAACCAAAAAAGGATCCGAGCTTGCTTTTACTCGGTGAGACGAACAGGATCAGGAGAATGCAGGGAAACGTTAAAACCTAAGCTTCACCTTACACGGAAGTGAAAGTAGCCAGAGCAGCCAGAATTAGGGATGATGACTATGAGAAGAATCTGGAGCAAGTCCACCCCTTCACACTACGAAGTTACAATGCTACGCTGCGGAAAGAATGCTCTACAAACTGTAGGCCGTTGTGTGAGGGTGTCCCATCTGAAATGTTTCGGCGTTGTGACTAGTCTTCACAAAACCTCTGCATATTCTCGTAACCTCACAGATATGATTCAAAACCCTGACGTAGAATGAGCCGAGCATTTCACGAAATTGAAGAGAAGAGGAAGATGGCAAGCATGAAGTTGTCCTGGAGGAGATGATGGAAGAAGAGAAGCCCTCTCTTGGGCAGCCCAGGTTATTCAGCCTTGGGAGTACTTGCCAGCCTTGGGAACTCCAGCAGCACATCTCTCCAGCCCAGGATAAAACCCTAGGGAATGGTCTGGAATCAATAGCAAGATAACGAGGGGAGGAGCCTTGAGGTGTTGTATTGTAACTGGCCAGCGCGGAGGAGGTTGTGGGCTGGAAAAGGCTGGTCGGACGGACGAGCAGATTGCGGGAACTTCCAGCTTGTATCGGAGGGTTATGATTTGATGTTCTTAGCCACGGTTGGATGTTCCGAGCGACGCGATCACATTTTGCTGGTTGCCTTTTCAGGAGGTCAGGCAGCCCTCAGGCATTGCACGCACGCATTCCTTGCAGAGAGGTCTGCCCGCAGTTGAACAAAACGGAAGCCAAACGTAGATGGGAAAAGATCATACTGTGGCCGAACGGTGCCAGAGGGGTGATCAACCAGGGGCCGAAAGGCTCGGAACTAACCAGACCGCTGCGCGAGGAGGGATTAACAAGAAAGTCATCGTTGTTTTGCACGTATTTATGTTACTAGTTCCTTGTACCGAATCGCATTTTCGCTCGCGTGTCATTTAGCGAGCCGACACTACCGAGAATTCTAAGGGCAGCCAAAAACTAAAACCCCTAGTGAACCTGGATGCATTTTAGGGATGGATCAACCCTAAAAACGGGAACCTTCCTTGCGTTTAGGGTTGATGCCTCCCGAGTCGCATACGTGTCCGAATGGGATATATTATTTTTTTCCCAGCGCGTTTCCGATCAGGTGGGCGATATGATCACCTAGAATATAATAAGTTGTTCTGTTCTCACAATTTAACACGCCGAATCTTACTTTCAAAAGAATGCGAGGCGCTTGTCGTAGTTGATGGCGGTCAGCACCTTCGACAAAGACAAATGAACAAGACATTTGGTTCTTGAAGTGATTCTCTTTTACTTACGGTTCGGCTTGTTCGCCAAGTCGTTTGGGCAGCTCCGGGTTGAATCCTACGGTCGAGATTATCCGGCCCTACTTTGGTCATCCCTCTGGCACTGTTCGGCCCCTATTTGATCATTTCCCAACGTAGATACAGGCAGACGATTGTGGGTGACCGTTCACCCCCCATCCTGAACTGACGTGTACGCGTGCATGAGGACTCTTGATTTAAAAAAGGCACGTGATTTCAGGAGAGCCCTTTATTGGGTAAGCGACGCCCACCTGGCCTTTTCATTCTCCGCCACTTGCGCCACCGCATCACGCGTAGACACGTAGGCGGATTGTAACTGGTGGCACCAAAAAGCAGGCCAGGTCAGCAGCTGGGCCACGTGAATTCGGCCGACCAATGCAGCATTGCTTCCAAATGCGGCAGGTCATTGACAAGGTTTGGAATCCGAGGGTCCATACATCACGGCCATTTTGACACGGACATTTCAACCCAAAGCAGGCGTCGGTGATGTGTCAGTAATCCCGACGCGACATTGTATCCCCAGAAAAGTCGGCAGAGAACGGGCCTGGCATTCTCAATGTCCACGAAAGATGAGCCCTTGATTTTCTAGGACTGCTTCGAAGTTTTGATTCTCGAAGATGAAACCTCAGTGTTATGGGAGGGGTGCACTATACCTCTAGGCACTAGGTTATCATGATGGATGGTTGTTCTGAAATGGCTTAGGAATTAAATTCCGTATGCTAATTTACTCGTAACATGAGAACGAGTAAACTCAGGGTGCACCTCTCACAGGCCAACCTTCAGTCCATTTCAGGTACACCATGATGGACCGAACTCAACATCTTCGCCGAACCATTGTTCCTGCACTGTAGGCCAACACTGACGCCCAAAATGAATACAGTAATGTTGCTTCATATACAGTACACTTAAAGCCCGAGGTCAGCATGGTAAAGTTTCAAGTTATTGTCAAGAACGGAATGAATGGTGTTGACTAAGGTTGGTTGGGGCACTAAACCTAACCCTAACTGTTGTACCACATATGACACACATCACTAAGACTATAACATCTGACACACCCCCATAGCCTAAGTGAGGGGTGTCAAGCAAACCTACAATGTACGGTCACAAGACCAGTCACAAAGCAACAAAGCTCAGGGTGGATCACAATGTTACCACACACTCTGAGCACAAGCAAAAGAGCCACAAGGCCAGTTCAAGAGTTCACAGAGGACAGAGGTATATATAAAGCGTACAAACAAAGCAAAGCAGAGAACTCACGACTACGCAAGGCGAGAACCTGTGTCAACGAGACCTAACTGCACACAACACCTCTGGTGGTCACAAGGCGAAAGGGCCTTGGTGAAGATGTCTGCAGTGTTGGCCTCGGACTCCACAAAGTCAAAGCGAGCATGCCCACGCCTCTGCAACTCTCGCAGAAGAAAGTACATGACGTTGATGTGCTTCACTCTGCTCTCCAGTCGCGGCTCTTGACAGAGGAGAATCGACGCCTTGTTGTCAGTGAACAAGGTCGGTGCAGAGCTCGGCCGCTCACCAAGGTCGGTGAGCAAGAAGGTCAACCAACGCAGCTCCTGTGCAGCCATGGCTCCAGCGTAGATCTCAGCCTCAGCGGTAGAGGTCGAGACCGAGGAGGAACGGGTGGACCTCCACGAAACAGCTCTAGAGCCCAAGCTGAAGCAGTACCCCTGAGTAGACCTGTGAGTCTCGGCGTCGTCAGCGTAAGAAGAGTCACAGTGTCCAGTAAGCACGACAGATTGTCTCCCTCCAAGAACCAGCCCCACACCTGATGTCGTCGCTAGGTAATTCGCCACCCTCACAACAGCTGTCCAGTGAACAGGACGGTGTCTCCCTGGCGCAACAAAGCGAGCAAGGATGCTGAGAGGGAAGGCGAGGTCCGGGCGAGTACAAGTCATCAGGTACATGAGGCAGCCCACAAGCTCTGCGTAGGGACCACTAGTCTCAAACGGCTCGTCAGGAAAGGGTCCAGTGAGTCTGTGGTCAACAGCAAGAGGTGTGCGCTGTACTGTGGAGTTATGAAGCTCGAACCGCTGAAGGACCTGCTGCACCATGTGTGACTGTGAGAGTGTGATGGTGCGAGCGGCTCTGTCCCTGGTGATCTGCAGGCCAAGGTAGTGGCGCAGCTCACCAAGGTCAGTGCACGTGTGTCTCTTCTGCAGTTCGCGCTTCACGTCAGCCAAAGCAACCCTGTCAGCACTAGCGAAAACCAGGTCGTCGACGTAGACCAGTACAAAGAACGGTGTGGAGCCACGACGAACAAACAGCGACGGGTCAGCAGAAGACGGCTGGAAACCGAGGTCAGACAGGGTAGAACGAAGGGTGTCGTGCCACTCACGAGGAGCCTGACGGAGACCGTAGACCGGTCGCCT